TGCAATAAGCTGAAAAAGCATTGTAAGATGTCTAAAATAAAAAAAATCAAGACATGAAAAACGAAAGAAAAACATTAAACTTTACAAAGCAATTTCCCTATTGCTGATGCTATTTCTAGAGCATTGGTAAAAAATAGTGAAAATCTGTAAAAATAGGCCTTTATTGAAAAAACAATCAGGAATTACACAATATAAGAAAATTATAATAGCTATCGGTGAAAACAAATTTTGTAATTTGATCAGAAAATAAAATTATTCTTACCTTGATTGTGACAACTAATTTTCTATAAAACTATTTGCTAATGATCAGCAAATTTTCGACAAATTAATATATGATAGTAAGTAGAGCACCTGAACTAACGAAATAACTAAATTTCCTATGAATTATACCTATTGAGTTGTCGCCTAGCGTGATTTCTTTTATTTTGATTACAATTTTTCTCACCTTGCCTAGGCTCATCTCTTTAATTTTAACGACAATTTGTCTCAGATCGCCTAACCTGGTTTCTTTTATTTTGAGCAAGTCTAATAATTTCACTTCTTATATCATCAGAAGTTATTATGCATCAAAGGAGTGTGTGTAAAAATGATGAAATTATAATAGTTTAACTTTTATTTTTAGATTGAACTTTGAGTTTTTTTTTTTACACTCATCTAAAGAGCAGTGTAAGCAAATAAAACAGCGTAATATAATATAATACTTCTAAAACAGCGTAATATAATATAATAATTCTACTCTACTATTAGTCATATTTAAATAAGATGTTTTAAAACAATTTAGGTATGTGTAAATACAATATATTTCTATTGAGAATCTAAACTGAAGTTGTAAATAAATTGAAACAATCTTTTTAACTGAGTACTGTTATATATTTAAGGTGGTTGTTATAATTTATCGAAAAAATATTATTTGTATTTAACCAAAAAACAATAAAAAGTAATTTAAAAAACAAATTTTTTACACATAAGAACTCATAATACTCAGCAAGTACTGATTGCACGAAACGATAAAATGTAATCGTTTATCATATATATATATATATATATATATATATATATATATATATATATATATATATATATATATATATATATATATATATATATATATATATATATATATATATATATATATATATATATATATATGTATATATATATATATATATATATATATATTTATATATATATATATATATATATATATATATATATATATATATATATATATATATATATATATATATGATAAATGATATATATATATATATATATATATATATATATATATATATATATATATATATATATGTATATATATATATATATGTATATATATATATATAAATGTATATATATATATATATATATATATATATATATATTTAATTTATATATATATATATATATAATATATATATATATATATATATATATATATATATATATATATATATATATATATATATATATATATATATATATTATATATATATATATTTTATTATATATATATAAATATATATATATATGTATGTATATATATATATATATATATATATATATATATATATATATATATATATATATATATATATACATATATATATATATATATGTCATTATATAAATACATATATATTATATATGTCATTACATAAAGTTATACTATATATTACCGTTCATAGTTACTCTAATGACATTAGCTAATTCTAAAAATGCTATTTTTTATTTACTTATTTTTCATGTCTATTTCTGCTCAATAGGATAATTTAAAAAAGTTTTGATTAAAATGTTTTGACAAAAATCAAAAGAATAATTAAAATGCTAAAGAGAGCAAAGTGACGTAAATTATGGATCATCAACGACTGTAAACCTGGACTGACGCACAGTGGGTAGATCTTAGAAAAGCTGACCAAACAGGAAAAAAGAAAAGTTTAGACACGGTATTTTTAGACTATGAGATTGGCTTCAGTAATGTTAGGACTACATAATGCCGGCTGTGCAGAAGATCAGCTGTTTATTTTGTGTGCTAATTGCAGATCAAACGCGAGAGTCCTTTGCCTGTGGTACTTCCAACGGTTAAAGCTTAATAATTAATTTTTTTTCCTCAAACATAAATATTTTGATTATGTGCATGTGAAACAATATGCAATTTGTTTCTCGAGGTATTTTCTAATTAAAAAACAAAAATACTTTTACTAAGTCATTAATTATATATTTTTTTTTATTAAGTTAACTTAATACAGAAAAATGTTTTTAAAAATTTTTTAATTTGCTTTAAAAATAGAGATAAGTTACATATTCCACAACAGTCAACTTTAATTTACATTGTGTTTGTTCGCATATAGTATTATTTTTGTAACCTAAAATTCAAATTCACCTACTAGTACCAACTCCACTTTTAAGTCATGTTTTATATGACAGTTGCAAAGTGCCGTTATTGAGATATCTTGATAAATAAAAGTAAAAATATTTAATTATGAGGTCCATTTGTACAACTTTAATTATTACCGATGTCTACAAGTGTTTTAAAGAATAATAAATCAAATGTCATCCCACCGGAAAAAAAAAGTAAATAAATCAAAGTGTCATCCCACCGGAAATTTCTAAACTTTATCTGATAAGTCCAAAAGCAGGAGGTCTTAAGAGATCCAAACAAAGTTCAGTCCTGCCAAATTATCGTTAGCTGCGCAAATGAGTCTTCGATCTTCAGGACATTCAGACGCTGCTAAGATTGTAAATAACGTTGTCAAATTCGTTTAAGGCAACAAAATACAAGGAAGGCTTGCAACTGTCATTATTATTGCCAGCCTTTTATGATGCAAATGAAGTTCTAGCACTTCTATTGGACCTAAATTTAACGAAAGAAAGGCAAGTGCGTAAAGAAGAAGATAAGGAGAAAAAAGCAACGATGAAAGCTAACACTCAAAAAGCTTTCTAACACAGCTAGGAATTTTAGTTGACATGCCAAAGCAAGGGTTGTGCAGAACGTACGATGGAAACACAACTTAACGACGGAAAAACAAACTCAGCGTTTCTTTGAAAATACTTAAACGTCACCCGAGATAATCAGCGTTTCCGAAGAATTAATCCACCGTTTTCATATAACTTTGCAAACAATTTTAAATGGACATAAAATTGACGTTAAAAAGTTTGAGGGTTACGTCTTAGCTATTGCAAGACACTATATCAAAGAATATCCTTGGCCCAACATGCCAACATCAGTACATAGATTGCTGATCCACAGACCAGACATTGTTTCTTTAGCCATTTTACTTATTGGTCAACTATCGAAGGATGCTCAAGAATCAATCAATAAGTTAATAAAGCAATATCTTTTGGGTTTTCTCAAAAGTTTTCAAGAGTTAAAATTATGGAATACGTGTTCATAAGTTTGTTGGCAACCACAGACCCCTACATTTTATCTCTACAAAACCTAACACCAAAAAAATTAAAGACATTGTTGCCAGAGGCTGTTGCCCTGTTGATTGCTGTAACAGAAGAATATGAACACTCTGACACAGATGCTGAGCAAACAGAGTTTGAATATAATGAAGATTTCAACAAAGAGAAAGATAAAGATGAAAAAGAACCAAAATGATTGTAACTGAAACAAATTTTTTTTTCTATATTCAACACCATCTTCCATCATTTAATCCAATTTTTAACATTTACGGATACATTCAATACACAATTTTGTTTTCTAATTTTTTAAACATTTTTTTCTAAAAAGAACCCTTAAATTTATTTATGAATAATTTAAACAATTTTTTAACATATATGTACGCCATATTGAATCCGCCATTTTTTTTTCTATTTTTTTTTCAGCAAGTTCTTAATCAGTAATTTCAATACAAACTATTGGAAACAAATTTTTTCGTAAGAAAATACCTTTATGCTTAAGTTTTTCTTTAAACTGTATAAGTTATTTGACAGCCCTTACGGAAATATTCCATGGAAAACCCATGGAACTCCATGAGTAAACCATGGTTTTCCCATGAAAAACGGGAATTCCATGAAATTTCCATGGGTAAATTTCATGAAAATTGAAATCCTATGGAATTTCCATGGGTGAACCATGTTTTTTTTTTCATAGCTTAAGCTGCGCCATGGTTGTTACAAATGCGCTTTTAAAGATGGCGTCATAGCTCGTAGAGTTATGATTATTTTTAAATTAGAAAACAATACTTACTGCATTCTTCTGTTTTTCTGTGTTTAATAAGGCTATGAATTATATGTTTTTTATAATGCAATACATTTATATGATTTAACTAAACATACAGACATAAACAACTAGATATATTTATCATATTATAATGCATTATAAAAGGGATTATTTTTAAATATATTTTATTATATATCATTTATGTATATACTTATTTTAACTGTTTCCAGTAGCTTTGCTTACTTTGCATAACTTGCAATAGTATAGCAAGTATGTCAAGTAAACCAGTTTGAATTTTAATGCCTACTTGGCAAATTATTTGCCAAATAATTATTATTTGGTTTACAACAAATAAATGTTTAGTTTTAAGGTAATGTTGCAGAATAGACACGTTAAATAAAATTATCTTTTAGCTTTTTGCGCTCTCGTTCGTAGATACTTAAAAAATTCTATTGAATGAATGAATAAAATGGAATGCTCTTTAAAATGGAACATAAATATCATAAAAGATAAATTTCAAAGTAGTTATTAAAATAGTTTTTTGTTTAAAAACTTTTTTTTAATTTTTTATTTTAATAATAATTTTTTATTAATATTTATTTAATTATTTTTTTAATAATAATCTAATAAATACAATTATTTGAAATAAATAATTGTATTTATTTCAATAATTAAAAATATAGTTTTGTTAGAACTATTGTTCATGCTAATGTGTTTTTTAAAAATATGTGGCTATGAAAATAGCCGTTTACGTTATAGTTTAAGCAGGATATTGACGTGAAATGCAAGAAATAAATGCTGAAAACAAAGGGAAATTTTTAAAACGTTGACGCTAAATAAACTCATGAAGATAAGATGTAAATAGATCTTCTGATGTCCCAAACTGTCGTCGCAATTTGCGTTTTACCCGCATCCATAGATTTTCTACATTTTGGGTATGAACTTCATCATCTAGGGGATCAACGAAATTGCGTTCATGAACAACAACAGCATGTGAATAAATACCGTTTTGGATGTTTTCAATTCCCCCATATGAAGCCCAACCATCGGAAACGATATGAGTTCCAGGTAAAATATAACGTAAAATCATATCCTGAAGTGTTTCTGCAGGGCGATCGACTTCTACTAAAAAACATTTACCTGAACCCCTTTCTATTCCACCGAATACCCAATGACCAGGGCGCCATTGTCCGCGATGATACTTGCGATGAAAAAACTTAGATTCATCTATTTTCACAACAATTGCAGTACCATCGTTATTTATGCCACCAACAACATTAGGATTAGTTTCAATCTCTACTTCGCATACATCTCGACAGAAGTTACCCCAATCTACAAGCGTATGGTTGACACTACTCAAGCGGGCTTCATGCTGTATGTCTTTTAGTTGCATATCCCTGCTCCAACAATAAATAAAGAGTATAATTTGTTTAAATGACAATTTACTTCTGGTAAAGAATGATCCATCGCGAACACTTCGACGCCGCTTGCATTCTTTACAGTACCAGCAGTACCCATCCACTGTTCTTTTGTAAGCGTTTAATGTAAAATGTCGATTACAGGGATTACAAAAAAAATTGTTTTTAATAAGCTTCCTCTGAGCTAACCATCGTAGTGTAGATATGGGTTGATCTAAACAAGACCCAAGTTCAAACAAACACCAATTTTCCGTTAATATTGCTGCCTCATTTAGTATTTCTACTTCTGGAACAATATTTGTTGAACCACTTGGTCTTCCGCGATTAACACGTTGTAAAGCCATCTAAAATATTTGATTTTTTAAAAGTAAAAATAATAGATACAACTACTAAATAAAAAATAATACATATGTAACTACTAAATATGAATATGTTAAAAAAATATAATATGTTAAATTTTTTTTTTATATTAAATGTGTTTATCTTACCTTTTAATAAGAGAAATGAAAAATGCTATAATTAATTAAATTAATGAAATAGTTAAATTTTTCTTACTTTTTACTTTTATTAGAACTCCATCGCAGATTTTAAAAAGCAAATTAATAAAATGATTTAACGTGTCTATTCTGCAACATTACCAGTTTTAAACTACATTAAATAACTAGTGTATTAATGTACATTCAAACTAGTATAATTATTATCATAAAACTTATCGAACGTATTAAAGAAACTTATTTAAAATATTAATATACAAGCAGTATATTAGATAAGATTAGATAACTAAGATAATAAGATTAGATAACTAATGTACAAAAGATAACTAGTATGATCTTTTTTATTTTTTTTTTTATAATAGCCTTAGATTACATAAAAATGCTTGAAGTTTATTGTATCGTAAATGTTCATTAAGTATTAAAAAACATTTTTTTATGATAAATGTTCTATTCAATTTTAGTTCTGTTAAGTTGTTTTTGTCTTTTTGTTGTAGTTTTTTCTTTAGAATTATTAGAATATGTAAATAATGTAATATAAATAATGTTTATAAATTCTTTTATATTTACTTTATTATTTCATTTAAATTACTACATTATAAGCCAACAGGTTTGACTGGCAATATAAATAATGTTGTTCATCGTTTATATTGTTTATAACATCGTCAGTTTTTATATGCATTTAATATTTTTAAAAATAGTTCAAAAGCTGTCAAAATAAAATGGTGAATTGAGTTTAAACCAGAAAAGATATAAACGTAATCTTTGGGATTCAACTTGTAAGGATGTTCCAAGAACCACTTAGTTGGAGAAGGAAAACTGTGGTAATATTTTATAAGTATCAGTAAGGGAATTTACTTAATGCACATCATAGTTAAGTATAAGCATATAAAAGCAATGTTTATAAATAATACACTATTATTTATTATAATACAATTATTTTTATTTGTTTATATTTAACTGATGTAAAGTGCTCGTCTTTAGTTAAAATAAATTAATTTATGCACACACTTTGATATTTACTATGCTTTTACATTACTATACTTTATAAATTACATATTTGTTATGTTTTAAATAGTGAAGTAAAAATATAATAAATTTTTGAATTTAATGGTATGTGCGTAAGTTCTTTTATTTTAACTTTATCATTTTATTTAAATTACTGCATTATAAGCAGGTAAGTTTGACTGACAATATAAATAATGTTGTACATCATGCAGACAGCTCAGACAAAGAAGTAAGTTTTTACTTAAAATTACAATTTATAAGTTATACTATATTTGTTGCTGCCTTATTCTATATAAATGTTACTAACATGCAGGTAAAATTTATATATGTGTATAAATCTTTTCATTTTAACCTTATCATTTCATTTAAATATAAATTTTTAATTTATTTATTTAGCCGTTCATTAACAAGTCCTGTGCTTTATAATATATTAAAAAATGGAAGGACGTGAAGAAAACAGGTTTGTAAATGATGTTGTACATCATGCAGATAGCTCAGAAGAAGAAGTAAGTTTTTTTTTTAAATTACAAAAGTAAATATATAATATAATATTTGTTGCTGCCTTGTTCTATATAAATGTTTCTAACATGCAGGTAACATTTATATATGTATTAGTTTGAATAAATCATTTTAATAAAGTTACATTATAGGCAGGAATGTTTGACTGGAAATATAAACGATGTTGTACATAATGCAGATAGCTTAGGCAAAAAAGAGGTAACAATCTAATAACTTGTATTTATAAATAATGATATATTCATTGCTACTATTTTCTATATAAATGTTACCTAACATTTGGCAACATTCATAATTGTGTATAATGCCTAATTATAAAGTAAGTTATAATAGATAATAATTATAAGTAAAATGAATTAGTAAATAAAGAAAACTAGTTAGAATGTATATAATAGTTGTATGATGTATTGTCTAGATTGGTGAAATGGAGAATGAGACTAACTAGGGTGAAAAAAAAATGAATATTAATATGTGAATATTAATATTCATTTGTTTAACATCTACCTGTTTCTACAGATACAGTACAGACGCATTTATAAATGGGCTTGATGTTTTTTTGAATTAAATATGTTGTATTGATGGTTCTTTTTAACTTGTTAAAACTTGAAGTTATTATCAAATTTATATATACTATTTTTATCAAATAGTTAATATAAAATAATAAACATGTAAATTGTTTTATTTTCTGTAAAAATTGTTTTCTTGATAAATTTCAATTGTTTATCACTATGTATATCACTTATAGTATTATATTACTTGTAATTTTTTGTTTTATTTATTTTCAGTATGTTATACATATGCGTGCATTAAATAATAGTGTGATAAAATTTGCTTTTATGATTTAATATGACAATTCATAATAACATTAGATCATAAAAACTTGAAAACAAATCATGCTTTTTTACCATGAAAAATCCATAAGTTTACCTTGGAAAGGTGTTCCTAATACCTATGGAAATTCCATGGTTTTTTCATGGATGCAAAATCATTGAATATCCATGGTATTTGGAACACTTTTCCATGAAAAACTTAAAGATTTTTCATGGGAAATTCATGTGTTTTCCATGAAAAACTCATGGTTTTTCCATGGAAAACTCATGGTTTTTTCATGGGAACGTGTTCCAAATACCCATGGTTTTTCCATGGAAAAGTCATGTTTTTTCCATGGAAAACTCATGGTTTTTCCATGGAAAACTCATGGTTTTTCCATGGAAAACTCATGGTTTTTCCATGGAAAACTCATGGTTTTTCCATGGAAAACTCATGGTTTTTTCATGGGAACGTGTTCCAAATACCCATGGTTTTTCCATGGGTTTTTTTCTAAAATTCCCATGGGAAATTTTCGTACGGGAGGCATCAAGAGCGATCAAATATTGAAAAATGATTTAGCCACGACAATCACAAGATTCTCTTTTATTGGACTTGACAAGAGGAATAAATAAACTAATGCGCTAATGATGTATAAAATGAGGAAAAAACTGATTAGTTGTTGGTATAAATTTGACTTCAACAAATTGGATCCGTTAAGTAGAATACTAAGAAAATGTATGACCTTTATTGTCGCTAGAGTTGATTAAAAGGCAAGTAAATTAAAAACTAATTGAATGAAACTTTAACTTATTTTTTTTGTAAACAAAAGAAATAGAAAGATAACATATCAGGTATTGCTTGATTTCAGCTTCTCTCCCACTAGTGAATAAGTTTTTGATATCTTATATCAAAGAGTACGACCATTCAAATGTTATATATAATAATTTAGTTATTATATAACAACTAAGTTTTTATATGTAATAATAAGTTAGTTAACATATAATCTTCACAAATAAATTTAGCTCAACTCATTTATATTTAAAATTTATTATATATATATATATATATATATATATATATATATATATATATATATATATATATATATATATATATATATATAAAATTTATGGATATATATATATATATATATATATATATATATATATATATATATATATATATATATATATATATATATATATATATATATATATATATATATATATATATATATATATATATATATATATATGGATAATTTTTACGTTCACGTTGATCTATTGTGTACTTTGTATTTATTTTTATCAAGTCTCAAAGTTGAATGTAACAATATTTTAGATTTATCCCTTATTTATTTTGGACTATGTTTACGATATTTATATTTGTATATCTTTATTCGCCAATCGATAATTGGTCATTTGTAAATACTTTGTAGTTGTAAAATAAACATGTTTAAAAAAAAAAAAAAAAAAAAAAAAAAAAATGCATTTGCGTACCCATATTCTTTTTTATTGTTTACCTAAATTAAAACGAATTTTTTTGAAAGCAAAAACAAAAAATAATTACAAAAAAACATAATTTAACACCAACTCCAATGTATTATTTCCAATATCCATGGCAGCTCTTTCTTTCAATAAGATATAAGAGTGTTGATCACAGAATGCTTTTATATATAAATGCGCAAGTTTAGTACTGCTTTATTTTTTTGTAGTTTAAAATTTAATTTTAGTTGTATTTCATTAATTTCAATTTAGTTACAGATTATACTTATTACTCTATTAAAATTATCTGTAGCGTAATTGTTCAGAATTATTTAAAAAATAATTACAGCACTGTTTATAGATTTATTTATAGATTCCGTATTAGTTGATTATTATTAGTATAATTAAATATAACGTACACAAATTTTTTGATAAGATAAAGTTACAATATTCAAATTAAACAAAATATTTTCATAAAAATAAAAACTCAAAATTAACTCCTTAATAATCTAGAAAATAAAGAAAGAAAAAATGTGGTTAAATAATTTTTGCTACAGACTTTTTTTATTTATTTTTAATTTTCGTACATCAACTACACAATTCATAATTTACTAACACAATATACACAATTACATTTACAGTTTCAAACCTGAAACAAAACTTTCTTTGTTTTGTTTTTGCTGTCTGCTATTTTCAACGACAAAAACCAACAATTTTTCAGAAATTTCAAAAAGATTTTGTGACTGGAAAAAACTAAACCCAAGAATTCCAGAACACGAAAACAGCAATGAACACCAAAGATGCTATTCTGATTGGAAAAATCTGGAAAAAAATCTCAAGGAAGGAAAGACCTTGGATTCTGATCTGCAGAGAGTTATCAACGGAGAGATGAAAAAGTGGAGAGATATCTTGAAAGTGATTGTTGATGCAATTTTGTTCTGTGCCAAGAACAATCTTGCCCTTCTGGATTTAACAGAAGTAATTAGAGAGCAAAACAGTGGCATCTTTCTGAACTTAATTGAGCTGATAAGCCAT